CGTGCCTCTCATTCGTTCAAGTACTTTCAGTTCCTTATCAGTGTTCGAGTCTATTCTTTCCGTGGTTTTCATTCATTTCGGTTTAATTCATTTAATCAGTACATTCAGTTCCTTTCAGTGTTTGTTATCAGTTCAGTATTATCAGTGGATTAAGTTTCTATTGTGTGTCAAGTCGGCCAGTTGTTTTTGTTTTGTTATCAGTGTGTTCGAATTCCCTTTCAACATTTCCAACCGACTACGCTGATGTTTCCAGATCCAACCAAATAGCTGCCGCGGCTTGGACTTCCAAACAGATAACATTTTTTCATGCAATATTAATTAGTGTTCATTTTTGTTTTTCATTTATATAAAATTTATATAGAATATATTTTAGTTTATTATTAATTACGGATTAAGAAAAAACTTTATTTTTAATTTATATTTGTTTTCCAATTAGTTTTTGTTTTCTGCATACATTTAATTTTTTTTTATTATTCCTCGGAGTATAAAATACTTCGAAAGGGGTTGAGAAACCCCCCAACATCAACATTTGGTCCTTCGAACCGGATCCTAATTATTATTAGGATTAATTGGGTGTGCAGCGACACTAGCTCTCCTACTATTGAAAAATAGTAGTAAAGAGCTACACTAGCCTCCACACTATTAGGGACCCTAATGTGTGGAGGGGGTCAGGCTACCAGGTATATAACCAAAGCAGCTACCGTCCTCGATCTCTTTTCTCTTCTACTGGTCGAGCAGGCAACACCTAGAAAAACTACGGAGTCCAACCGAGGAATACCAAGAATACCGGAATTCAACCAAGAAGATTTTGTAAATTATTATAATTTTGTAATAAACTTTATTTTTCATTTATAGTGTCTTGATTTTTATATGTGGGACCACCCCACATAATTGGTGACCCCGACGCTGAATTGGACCACATAATTGGTGTGAGCTGAATTACTATAGAGCACTATCCGTACAGAAGACAATAAAAAAACAATGAATGAAGACATGCAGGACACTAAAGGGGAACTGGACGCAATCTCACGCACTCCGCATCTACCGCCATTTTTGAGTGAGAAACCGACATTGTGGTTCACAATTGCCGAAGCAATATTTTCTCGATGCCGCATCATCAATGACCTGGCTAAATATGAATTTGTAATAGCTCACCTAGATTGCAAATATTTACTCCAAATAGAGGACGTTATAAACTCTCCGCCTGCAGAGAATAAATACATAAAACTAAAGGAGGAATTAATCAAAAGGCTATCAATTTCCGAACGGCAAAGGATAAGACAATTACTTTTGCAAGAAGAACTTGGTGATCGAAGTCCTTCTCAGTTCCTACGTCACCTTCGTTCATTGGTCGGAACAACTACAGTCGACAATTCACTCCTACGAGAAATCTGGATTCAACGACTACCGGTCCAGACTCAACAAATATTGCAAACCCAGATCAATGGAGACCTAGAAGAACTTGCATCCCTCGCCGACAAAATATGTGAGATTGCACAACCGCCAGTAGTCGCAGCAACTAGTAACAACCAACAGCAAGACATCATACAAAAACTAATTGATAAAAATGATCAACTAACACAGCGTTTGGAAGATCTTACAGAGCAATTAGCCAAGTTAACCTATCGTAGCAGACTCAACCTATCAGCAAATAGAAACTGTAGCCCATTTCGACAAGACTGGTCTAACCACTTCTTCAGGCCGAGAAGTACTTCTAGATCGCGCAACCGAAAAACATTCTGTTGGTACCACGCCAAATTCGGAAAGAAAGCAAGAAAATGCGAGAGTCATTGTTCGTTCAGAGAGGAAAACTCCAACGGCAAGGAGTGATGGCGACCTATCCTTGCTCTTCATCAAGCCGTCGCCTCTTCATAAGTGATCGCAGAACTAAGGTACAGTTTTTGGTCGACACAGGTTCAGACGTTTGCGTGTATCCAAGGCGCTTAACTGCTAAACCTAATCCTCAACTAAACTATACTTTGTCTGCAGCCAATGGAACCAACATACGCACGTACGGGGATATTATTTTACAATTAGATTTTGGACTAAGAAGAAATTTTACTTGGAGATTCATCGTAGCAGACGTAACAATGCCTATACTTGGAGCAGACTTTTTGGCGTACTACAATATCATTATTGATATAAAGAATTCTCGTCTACATGACAACCTGACATCACTGTCATCTCCAGGATGTGTCACATTCTCTCGGATACAAAGTGTCAAGTCTATATTTGGAGATAGTGCATACAATAAATTATTAGCTGATTTTCCATCCATCACCAGACCATCAGGCTTGTGTCAAGAAAGCAAACACAAAACATTTCATTATATCAGAACCACTCCAGGACCTCCAGTTTCTTCTAGACCACGGCGCCTCAAGCCAGAATTACTTCGCGTAGCCAAAGAAGAATTTAAGAATATGGTAGAATTAGGCATTGCAAGACCCTCCGATAGTTCTTGGTCTTCACCTCTACATCTGACACAGAAAAAGGATTCGACGTGGCGTCCATGCGGAGATTATCGGCTACTCAACTCACGCACAATTCCAGACAAATATCCCGTTCGTCATATTGCGGACTACGCCCATAATTTAGCAGGATGTACTATATTTTCAGTGATCGACTTAGTGAAAGCCTTTCAGCAAATTCCAGTCCATCCTGATGATATTGCAAAAACAGCAATAATAACACCATTTGGGCTGTTTGAGTTCCCGTATATGACTTTTGGACTAAGGAATGCAGCACAAACATTTCAGCGATTTATAGATGAGGTTACACAAGGTCTGGATTTTTGTTACGCATACCTAGATGATATTCTTATATCATCTACATCGCTAGAAGAACACCAAGATCATCTCCGCCAATTATTTCAACGCCTGAAAGACCACGGCGTTGTCATAAATCCAGCGAAATGCGTATTAGGTGCACCCAAAGTTACATTTCTTGGTTATGAAATTTCTAAAGATGGAACTTTGCCACCACAAGACCGTATCAACGATCTCCAAGAATATCCGCTACCGGCAACCTACTCAAAGCTGCGACGCTTCATAGGAATGATTAATTATTATCGAAGGTTTATTCCTCACATAGCTGAATTTCTTGCTCCGCTACACAAGCTGCTCTCAGGATCTACCAAATCTGGATCACAACCAATTTCTTGGACCCCACAGCTTCAAGATAACTTTGAAACTTGCAAGAAAGAATTGGCTAAAGCAACATTACTAGCACACCCAGTTCCAAATGCTCAAACAGCATTATTTAGCGATGTATCTAACCATTCTATCGGTGCAGTATTACAGCAGTACATCAATGGCACTTGGCAACCTTTGGGCTTCTTTTCAAAAAAACTATCTGAGAAACAACAACTATGGCCAGCATATTATCGAGAACTTTTGGCTGGATACGAAGCAGTGCAACATTTTCGAAGCTTACTGGAAGGCAGACATTTCATTTGGTTTACTGACCACAAACCTTTAATTCACGCCTTTTCCCAGCGAAAGGACAAGCTGCCGCCAATACAATTAAATCAATTAAGTTTCTTGTCGCAGTTTACAACAGATGTTCGCTATGTTAGTGGACAACAAAACATTGTAGCCGACGCCTTCTCAAGAGCAGAAGCCATAACATCGCCTTTGGATCACTCCGTTATTGCTAAATCGCAAGACGAAGATGAAGAACTGGTAACGCTCTTAAAATCAGATACTGCTCTCAACCTGAAACGCATCGCTATTCCAGGAACCAAAGAACAATTATATTGCGACATTTCTCAAAATCGATTACGTCCTTATGTTCCTGCTGAACATAGACGACATATTTTTAATACTCTGCACAATCTTTCTCATCCAGGTATAAAAACCACAACTAAACTTATCACGGATAGATTTGTTTGGCCTGGCATTCGCAAGGATTGTAGAATCTGGGCTCGAAGCTGCATCTCATGTCAACGCTCCAAAATTGGTCGGCATATAGTCACACCACTTGGAGAGTTCAAAGTGCCACCCGCCAGATTTCTGCATGTTCACATTGACATTGTCGGACCACTTCCACAATCAAAAGGCTTTAAATACCTATTCACCGCTATAGACCGTTACACACGCTGGCTTGAAGTTTTTCCTCTATCAGATATTACCGCAGAAAGTGTAACCTGGGCTTTCTTGTATTCTTGGATTTCACGCTTTGGTGTTCCATCTCAAGTAACTAGCGACCAAGGACGGCAATTCTGTTCAGCTGTTTTTCAAGGCGCAACCAAACTACTAGGAATTTCCCACACTCCTACTACAGCATATCACCCGCAATCAAATGGATTGATTGAAAATGCTCACAGGCCACTGAAAACAGCCCTCATGTGCCATGCAGACCCGTCATGGATGGATTCTCTACCAATTATTTTATTAGGAATTCGAGCTTCTGTTAAAGAAGACATTAAAAGCAGCAGCGCCGAATTAGTATACGGAGAACCGCTTCGTCTACCTGGCGAATTTTTAATCAGCACGCGCAAGGAGATACCAACAAGCGACTTCTTGAGAAATCTACATCGACATTTCGAAACAATACATCCAACTCCTACATCTGCACATGGATCGAAAAAGACTTTTGTACATAAAGAACTAAGTAATGCAAAATTTGTATTCCTTAGGGAAGACGCTCTGCGACCAGCGCTTTCTTGTCCATACAGAGGCCCGTATGAAGTCATAGATCGAAACTCCAAAACATTGAAAATTAAAATTGGAGAACGCAATGTAAGAGTATCCATCGATCGTGTCAAGCCCGCTTTCACGACAGAAGACGACCAAAGTACGAGTCCAACTCCATCCAGCGCTACAGAACATACCTCCAATCAATATAGAACACGGTTTGGACGGGTAGTCCGTCCTCGCATCCAATAAAATTAATACAATTTTATTGACTCGCCAGGGGGGTATTGCAGCGACACTAGCTCTCCTACTATTGAAAAATAGTAGTAAAGAGCTACACTAGCCTCCACACTATTAGGGACCCTAATGTGTGGAGGGGGTCAGGCTACCAGGTATATAACCAAAGCAGCTACCGTCCTCGATCTCTTTTCTCTTCTACTGGTCGAGCAGGCAACACCTAGAAAAACTACGGAGTCCAACCGAGGAATACCAAGAATACCGGAATTCAACCAAGAAGATTTTGTAAATTATTATAATTTTGTAATAAACTTTATTTTTCATTTATAGTGTCTTGATTTTTATATGTGGGACCACCCCACAGGTGTATACAGAAAACAAAAATATATAATGGGGCCTAAAATCGATATTGGTGCAGAAATTGTACGTCTAACCGCCAAAAGAGAGACGTACTTCTCAATTGTGCAAGAAACGTACGATCTATCACAACAGATTGATGTACCATCAAACAAGACACAATTTCTCGAAAATTTATACATTTCTGAAAATGCTCGTGAACAATTCATTCAATTGTGTGATGAAATAAACAAATTAAAATATTTAGATAATCCTAGTTTTATTCCGGAATATTCTGCAATAAAGGCCCTTGAAACGATGTACGCCAAAATAAAACACGCTGAGAAATTATTAGAGAATAAAAATGTGCATAGTTCTTCAATTAAAGACGTTGTACCCAAACAACATTTACCGTCCATTAAAGTACCTAAATTCTCAGGTGATATTCAACAATGGCCATTATTCTATGAAACATTTAATTCACTAATTCATGAAAATACCGAGTTAGATAATGTATCAAAATTCCATTTTTTAAAAGGAGCGTTACAGGGTCCGGTATTAAAAATATTTCATTCGATACTACCGACCGCAAATAATTATCAAATTCTTTGGGAAGCGCTCATCAAAAAATACCAAAATAAACGCTACTTAGCCACAAATTATTTCAAGCAACTATTATCATTCAAAACCATTTCATCTGGACAAATAAATTCATTCCTTGAAAAATTCGATACCGCGGTGCAAGCGCTCTCCCAATTGAATATTCCCGACGCCTATGATTTCCTTATTACGTCACTAGCATTCTCGAAACTCGATCCGTTGTTACAAGAAAAATTCGAGCATTTTTATCAAGGTGAGTTTCCCAAATATCAAGACCTCCTGCATTTTCTTCAAAAATCACAACAGGCAAAAAATCAAGTATATGGTATGAGCAACAATTTCACTAATGACAAACCCAATTACAAAAACACAAAATTAGCCGGTCATTTTTGTTAAAAAATAAATATGATAACCATTGCTTTGTGTGTCGGGAACAACACAGAGTGTTTACTTGTTCGAAATTTCTTTCATTGAATATACCTGATCGGCGATCCCTTATTCAAAAATTAAACTTATGCGACAATTGTTTGGGTCATAAGATAACGACTACATGTCGATCGAATAAAACCTGTTTATTATGTAACGAACGACATCACTCGCTATTGCATACTGGCAGCAATTTTGCGAGTACGGATCAAAATAATCTTTCTAACTCAAAATCAAATAGTACGGTTTTATGCGCATTTAATCAAAACAAAATTGCACATCATATTACCATATTGCCGACAGCAGTAGTAAAAGTTACTACTAGAAAAGAAAACATTTTATTACGTACAATTATTGATTCGGGAAGCGATAGAAATTTTGTGTCATTAAATTGGTGCAAAAAGGCTGATTTACAAATTCTTCCAATATCAACCCAAGTGATCGGGTTAGGCAATTCGTCACATAAAGTTATTGGATTAGTTAATTTCACTTTGAAATCTTTAATCGATTCTTATCAGTTATCGGTCTGTGCATACGTAGTACACGAGATAGTGGGAAAGCAACCACAAATTACCATTCCGATTTCATCCATCAAAACATTTCTGAATTATCCTTTAGCGGATCCTAACTTTCATACACCCCAGGAGGTCGACGGAATTTTGGGTTGCGATGTTTTTGGCGAAATTCTTGGCACTAATCAGGTTAAAAATGATAAAGGATTACCTGTGGCCCTAGAAACCCGGTTGGGTTATCTAATATTAGGTTCCATTCCTGATTTATATGAAAATACCGGCACTTCTACTAATTTATGTAATGTTTCAGATTCAGATTTTCATTTACAAATGAATAAATTCTTACAATTAGAAGACATTCCCGAAATAATCCCCTCTTCTAACGATGATTTATGCGAAAATCATTTTACTACAACTACTACGCGATCTCCAGATGGACGATATGTAGTAGCGCTGCCTTTTAAAAGTGAAGGCAGGAATTTATACAAATCATTTCATTTAGCCTTAAAGCGATACCAAATGCTTGAAAATAAATTTTTGAAAAATCCCGAATTTCATAAAAAATATGCCGCCGTTATAGAAGATTACCTGACTCAAAACCAATTATCCTTTGTCGATTATTGTCCGGTAGATCAGGAAGTCGATGATTTTATTAAAATAAAAAATGGATATTATATTCCTCATTTCGCAGTCGAAAAAGAAAGTTCCTCTACGCCTTTACGCGTTGTGTTTGATGCATCTGCGAAAAATTCAGAATTCACTTCCTTGAACGAAATTTTGCATGTTGGTCCTAAATTACAAACCGACATTTGTTCAATCCTTCTAAATTTTCGTTTCGGGCCTATAGCATTAACAGCTGATATCAAACAAATGTATCGTAATATTTGGGTTCGTAAACAAGATAGAAAATATCAAAAAATCTTATGGAGACCGTTTCCCGATGCACCCATTGGCATCTATGAATTAAATACTGTAACTTTTGGTCTATCGTCATCTCCCTTTCAAGCTATCAGAACCATCAAACAACTTTCCCGAGACGAATGTTCCAAATATTCTCAATCTATTTCTAGAATTCTTGAGAACGATGTCTATATTGATGATGTGGTTACAAGTATCGACTCCTTGGATAGCGCTAAAACCATTTGCGAAGGTTTGCAGACTGTATTATCGTCTGGTGGTTTTGAATTAAAAAAGTGGGAATCTAATAATTCTAATCTGCGTAAACTTTTTCCTGATTCTGATGTACAAAATAAACATTTCTCTAAATCGGATTTTCAAATGGAATCTTCTACAAAGGTATTGGGATTAAAATGGGATCCCTTATCAGATAATTTTTCATTCGAAATAAAGCTTACGTGGAGAAAATGGACAAAGAGACAACTTCTTTCAGTAATAGCGCGAATCTGGGATCCTCTGGGTTTCCTAACTCCGATAGTTGTTAAGATAAAAATATTATTGAAAAAAATTTGGACATTAAAAATCGATTGGGATGAGGAATTACCATCATTTATTATTACATCATGGTTAGCCGTATATTCCGAATTAGAGCATCTTAATAACTATCAGATTCCGCGTTATCTCGAAACGTCAAAACAAAACAAATGTACATTATTTGGTTTCGCGGATAGCTCAGAGCAAGCGTATGGAGCGGTAGTTTATATTAAATCTCTTGGCAATCCGAATTTCTTATTGATTTCAAAATCACGAGTAACACCGATTAAAAACCAAACATTAGCCAGGCTTGAACTTTGTGCCTGTCATTTACTGTCAAAACTTCTGAATTTTATATTAACGAATAACCAACATAGTATAGATTTTGATTCCATTTACTGTTTTTCCGATTCTATGATTGTCCTTCACTGGTTAGCAGGACCGGCTACTCGTTGGAAAACATTTGTAGCCAATAGGGTAACAAAAATACGGGATCTCATTCCTAATGCACAATGGCTTCACATTCCTTCTAATCAAAATGCAGCCGATTGTGTTTCTCGAGGTCTTCGACCTAAGGATTTTATCCAACATAAGAATTGGTTGTTTGGGCCGGATTGGTTAAACGGTCCTATATCAACTTGGCCTGCAAAAACGGTTGAACCTTCCGGAGATATTGATCAAGAAAGAAAAGCTAACGTTCTATTAGTAAAGAGTGTCATACCATCGATCAATCCTTTATATGAATTAACGCAAAAATTTTCTAATTGGTGCAAACTTGTAAGAATTTTCGCTTATATATTGAAGTTTTGTAAAATTATAACAAATCGAAACCGACTTTTGACTTCAGATTTGAAACAAGCCGAGGTAATTATTATTCGTTTAGTCCAAGAACATCATTTTCCCGAAGAATTCAAACTATTAACGAACGGAAAGTCTTGTTCGAAGAAGTTTTGCCGACTAAATTTGGTTTTGGATTCTAATAATTGTTTACGCGTTAAAGGTAGATTAGGATTAACAACTAATAACAATCCATTTCTTTTGCCAAAAAAAGACCAAGTAGTAAATTGTCTTATAGATTACTACCATATTAATAATTTACATACTGGATCAAACTTAGTATTATCTTTATTGAGGCAAAAATATTGGATCTTGTCGGCTCGTGCAATAATTCGTAATCGTCTTCACAAGTGTATAACTTGTTTTCGACAGAATCCGAAACCCATTTTTCCATTCATGGGCGACTTACCAGTACCGCGCATAACAGCCAGTAGAGCTTTCCTAAACGTCGGCGTTGATTATGCAGGCCCCTTCAATATCTCCATGAGTCGTCACAGAGGCGCTCGAACCTACAAGGCTTATGTATGCTTGTTCATCTGTTTAGCCACTAAGGCGATACATCTCGAATTAGCTTCAGATTTAACAAGCGATACATTTTTAGATTGCTTGAAACGATTCCTAGCCCGGCGTGGTCCTATTAAATGTATTTACTCCGATTGTGGAACCAATTTTATAGGAGCCAAAAATACTCTTGATTCCTTATTCCTTCTCCTAAATTCCGAAGAGTATAAAAAGCGTTTCAATGAATTATTGGTTTTGCATGACATTGAATGGAAATTTAATCCACCGTTTGCCCCACATTTTGGAGGTATATGGGAGGCGAATATTAAATCAGTGAAGACCCATTTGTTTAAAGTTATAGGGTTGCAAATTTTATCCTACGAAGAGTTTAATACAGTCCTCAATCAAATCGAAGCCTTACTGAATTCAAGACCGTTATGTTGGCTGAGCAATGATCCGTCGGACCCTCAGCCTCTTACGCCTGCGCACTTTTTAATGCAAGAGCCTCTGTCGGATTTGCCCGTTGACTATGAAAACTTGAATTTGACTAAAAGAAAACAATTGTTAGATCATATTGTCGCTTCTTACTGGAAGCGATGGAATGTGGAATATCTAACCGAGCTACAGGTCCGACAGAAATGGAATATAGTCACTAATCCTATTAAAAAGGGTGATTTGGTAGTTGTAAAACAAGAGAATGCGCGTCCGCTCCATTGGGGGTTGGGAAGAGTTGAAGAGGTTTTTCCGGGCTCCGATGGAGTGGTTCGAGTAGCATTGGTAAAAACGGGAAATACCCTAATCAAGCGGCCTGTTGTCAAACTATGCCCCCTACCTATTCAATAGTTTATATCTGAATTATTCATTTCAAAAAAAAAAAAACTTTTCTATCTCATGATATATTTGCTTCTATATATAGTTTTGCCAAATTTTCAATCTCCAGGGCGATGAGAACATCCCTCATAGTCTCTGGAAGATTCTTGTAAATGTCCAAAAATCTAGACCCTGGCGCGAAAATAAAACTTCCGCAATCTAGATTGTGTGAATGTGGTAGGTTGCGAGAGCGGGACCCTGGCGCGAGGTCAGGCTTCCGTAACCGATCTACTCTGAATGAAAGTTTGAATTTATTTTGGCAATTCTATCCTTCCTAATCATGAGGTTCACTATGTACCAATTTCGAGTATTTTCAGAAGTATAAAAGGCTAACCTTTTAGTCGGGGGAAAATGTTTGCGCCGCACCTGTGTAGGTTGTCGGACCTGTAAAAGGTTTGTTTTTCTACTTGGACAACACGTTTCAAATTTAGGCAATCGGGCAATTCTGACTCATAAAAAAGGCCGATGCAGGCAATAGTTTTACCATTCAAATTTATTCATTCGGTTCCTTTCATTCGTTCAGGTACTTTCAGTTCCCTTCAGTGTTCGAGTCGTTTCATTCCGTGCCTCTCATTCGTTCAAGTACTTTCAGTTCCTTATCAGTGTTCGAGTCTATTCTTTCCGTGGTTTTCATTCATTTCGGTTTAATTCATTCAATCAGTACATTCAGTTCCTTTCAGTGTTTGTTATCAGTTCAGTATTATCAGTGGATTAAGTTTCTATTGTGTGTCAAGTCGGCCAGTTGTTTTTGTTTTGTTATCAGTGTGTTCGAATTCCCTTTCAACATTTCCAACCGACTACGCTGATGTTTCCAGATCCAACCAAATAGCTGCCGCGGCTTGGACTTCCAAACAGATAACATTTTTTCATGCAATATTAATTAGTGTTCATTTTTGTTTTTCATTTATATAAAATTTATATAGAATATATTTTAGTTTATTATTAATTACGGATTAAGAAAAAACTTTATTTTTAATTTATATTTGTTTTCCAATTAGTTTTTGTTTTTTGCATACATTTAATTTTTTTTTATTATTCCTCGGAGTATAAAATACTTCGAAAGGGGTTGAGAAACCCCCCAACATCAACAGTAAATTCATTTGAACGATGTATAATCCCAAGTAACGGTAAATGTTGCGAATATTTTGTACATCTGCCAGACAACCCTTAATAAAAGTTTATGATAGCTCATGTACCTTCGGCGAGCTATCATAAAACTAGAAATATTGGAAATATTTTAAAAATGTAAAAATATAAGTCAGTTAGTCCTGAACTCTTGAACAAGTAACAACTAAAATATTATAATAAAGCGCTAAATAAATTTTTGTATCTAAATAAATTCTTTGATTTCACACACCTCCAGAAGAGCTACAAATGTTCCAATTCTCGTCGTTAAGTATTCCAAATAAAACTCTAATCTACTCAAGAAGTTATTAAAAATTGGTTACATTTAATCATTAATTAGTAAATTCATTACTAACGTCTCTTCAATGCACTAAATTTATAAATGTCAAAATATTTCCTTTTTGGTCGAAAATGATAGTATTTATTTTACAATAATGTTTTGTATCCATAATTTGTTTGGCAATATTGCCTATAAACATAAATTGGAATAATTAATTTATTTGTTTCCCACTGAAGTCGTTAAACATTTTTTTGTGAAATGTCAAATTTTTGTTTATGATTAATTTTAAATTCAATATGTCGCTTTTTTATTGTGATCTCTGATCTATAAGGTTTTGATGAAGTTTTGGTATCCGAAATAATTTGGTAAGCTAATTAAATAAATATAAATTGTAAATCTATTTATATAATTATTTTCATAAATATTGACAAATGACATTTGACGTTTTTCATGTCAACATTTATTCAAATATATAAACTTTAAATTTCAAATCAAATTTTTAATTAGATTTAAAACTATAAATTTGGATATAAATGTTGAATATATCTATAATTTTTTTTTTCAAAAATCATAAATTTTTTTCTCAAATTTTCCATAAATTTTGACATTTGTCATTTTAGTGTTTTGTTTATTTTTTGTCCATTTTCTGTCAAATTTTTTTGAAAATATTTATTTTACAATTATGTTTTGTATCTATAATTTGTTAGGCAATTTTTTCTATTTGCGTTTTATTAAAGTAACTCGTTAAACATTCTTTTTTGTGAAATGTCAAAATTTTGTTTATGATTATTTTTAAATTCAATATGCCGCTGTTTATTGTGGTCTCTGATCTATAAGGTTTTGATGAAGTTTTGGTATCCGAAATAATTTGGTAAGCTAATCAATTAAATCTAAATCGTAAATCTATTTATATAATTATTTTCATAAATATTGACAGATGACATTTAATTTTTTAATTAATTCCAACGCATCATAGTGTTTTGTCTATTTTAATTTTGTTTGTTATTTTTTTTTCAAATTAATGAATAAATTTGATTTTAATCTGAATCAACGCATTACCATTATCTAAATATACAATTTTTTTTATAAATATTTGATTTTATACATTTGCATTTAATTCAAAAATAGTGAATGTCAATTTCATTTATCCAATATGCCCTAAATTTTTGAATGTCAAAATATTTCCTTTTTGGTGGAAATTAAATATATGATAATATTTATTTTACAATATTGTTTTGTATCTATAATTTGTTAGGCAATATTGCCTATAACATAACTGGAATAATTAATTTACTTGCTTTTTATTGAAGTAAGTCGTTAAAGTTTTTTCTGTGAAATGTCAAAATGTTGTTTACAATTTATTTTAAATTCAATATGCCGCTTTTTTATTGTGATCTATGATCTATAAGGTTTTAATGAAGTTTTGGTTTCTGAAATAATTTGGTAAGCTAATCAATTAAATCTAAATCGTAAATCTATTTATATAATTATTTTCATAAATATTGACAGATGACATTTAATTTTTTCTTCATGTCAACAATTATTTAAATTTTTAATCATTGATTTTTAATTAGATTTTGAATGTAGAATTTCATCAAATTTGGATATAATTGTTGGATATTACTATAGTAATATATATATATATATATATATATATATATATATATCTTGATGATCGACGTTGAAACGACGTTATTCATTTCAATATATATATATATATATATATATATATATATATATATGTACATGTTTTTGAATTTTATTTTTTGAAATAGCAACTTTTTTTTAAAAATTATATATCCAAATTTTCTTTAATTTTGACATTTGTCATTTTAGTGTTTTGTTTTTTTTTGGTCATATTCTGTCAAAATTTTTATAAATTTATAAAAATTATATATTTATATTTCAAATTAACTTTTCAAAATTTCTTATAACCTAAGTTGGATATATATGCACACGATGAGCCATTAAAATTTAAAATCGGTCCAGTAGTTTGGGCGTCCATCGCAAACAAACATCGTGACACGAGATTTATATATCTTATATATAAAAATGGAGCTCTCTTTCAAATGTCCGAATAAAACTCGAAAACGGCTGAATCGATTTGGCCAGTCTTAGTCTTGAAAAATTCGTGCCAATCCAGAGAAAGTCCAAAAAGTGAGAAATTATTTTAAATCCGCGTAGAAACTTTACATTTTTAATTTGAAAATTTTTGCAGAAGCGTAATTTAAATAAAACAATGGACGGTGGCAATTTCGTGAAATGTCAAACGCTTTTGACAGATGATGTTCAATTACGTTTAATAGGATGTTTTACGCGAATTTTATTTATTTATGATAAATTTGTAGTAAGTAGTTTTGTTTGTAGTTTTATTTATATACAAAAATGTTAGTAAACGGGCCGCAAGTTTTACTAGAGACTCAAAATATAAACTTTTTTGATATGTTAATATGAAAATGCACTTTTTGGCATATTTTTCTCAAACACGGTGCTCTGAAAGACCTCATTTATATAATTATAAACTCATTGGTATTTATAAAACATTTTCTAGGTTATATTATTTTTTATTTATCTTATTTAAATTCAGAACCTAAATTTGGTATCGATCAAATAGACATTTTGTCGAATAACATTTTTCCAATTATAATTTCCCAGAATTTATCGCAGAATAGATATTAATGTTTGAAGGTCCGGGATTAAAAAGGTCCACCACCGATGTGCCAAAAATCAGTGAAGTTAAGCATTGTTTAACAACAATATTTGAAAGTAGAGAAAAAAAGATGTATAGCCAGCTACAAACTTGATTTGAAAACGATAATCATTGAAATGGGGGAGATAAACGGTAATCTTTGAAAATCTATAATAAAAGTATTTTCTTCCGTTGAAAGTTTTAGCATTAGTTAAAAATGTAAATATTTTGTAAAATACCTTTAAAATTATAATAAGGCTTTAAACCTTTTGCCACCTGCCCGTTACAAGTTACCCCGCCTATAGGGTAAAAAGATCTAGATAACAAGTTTTTGAAAGACATCAAAAAAGCACATTTCTACAATGATGAAGTAGAAGTCAGTTTACTGAACGTAGTCAGATAATTGTTCGTTTGATATGTCTTATTAATTGTGATATAATTGTTATGGTTTTCACAATATAGATTATATTTGCTCAAAGTCAAATTGGACCTTTGTGCCTCGCCCTGTTCTACTTATATACTTTTTATTAAATTTACTTTAATTCATCGAATGTAACTTGAAACTTTTCAAAAAGCAGGTCAAAGAAGAAATACTTAATTCATTTTTTATCTCTCCTCGCAAAAATTTGAAAAATTTGTATAAGCTCAGTAGTATTATTTACAATTATACACAAAATCCAAATAAGAATCCAAAAAGAATCTGAAAAACTTGACACGTAATTAATAAGCCGAAAGACCAAAAAAGACTCGGATTGGATTATACGATGTTTTCTATAGAAAGTGTATAAAACTTGCAGTTTGATTGTATTGACAAAATATAGACAAACTAATGGGGTTTATTGTTTTTATAATACCGCATAGTATATAGCATTCAAACAA